TATCCATCCATCCATCCATCCATCCATCCATCCATCCATCCATCCATCCATCCAAATATCCAACCATCCATCCATCAATCCATCCATCCATCCATATATCCATCCATCCATCCATCCATCCATCCATCCATCCATCCATCCATCCATCCATGTTTCTTGGTTTCACATAACATTTGTCTTAGTTCTGTATTTGTTCCTTGTTTTCAAGTGTATGAGCACAACAATATAGTTTCACATCCATTCAAATGTCCATCCATCCATCCATCATTCATCCCATTTAATTTATTCCAAGTGGGGTCGTGGGGGCAACAGCTTCTACAGGGAGTCCCAGACCTCTCTTTCTCCAGCCACCTCTTCCAGCTCTTCTTGGAGGACCCCAAGGCGTTCCCAGGCCAGTCGAGAGACATAGTCTGTCCATTGTTTCTTCCTCAGGGTCTCCTCCTAGTTGGACAAGCCTGAAGCACCTCCCTAGGGAGGCGTCCAGGAGGCATCCTTAGTAGATGCCCAAACCACCTCAACTGGCTCCTCTCCATGTGGAGGAGCAACTCTTTAAATTTCATGGAAATAGGTGAGGGTAGGAATGTAGACCAAACCCCAATCCACCCTTTTCCCACTGAGGACCATAGACTCAGATTTGGAGGTGTTGATCTTCATCCCAGCTGTGAACTGCTCCAGTGAGTGCTGAAGATCACGGCGCAATGAGGATGATGATGATGATGATCCCACCCTGAAGGGGTCTGACTTACTGCCGGCAATAAGAATCAAACCCTCACACTGCTTGTAAAAAGACTGAACAACCCGTAACAACAGTGTGCCTCGATAAACACAGTCGAAGCCACAAAACCCCGTACTGCTAACGTAGCGCTAATAACCAACCATTGTTGTGTTCTCTGTTTGGTAGAAGAGTCTCCGCTGGGTCAGAACCTGCCGCCTGGATTTCCTGCTCCGTTCCTGTTTGCTGACGGCCTGTCGTCAGTGGAGACTCTGCTCACCAACATTCAGGTACGACTCTGTTCTCACAGCTCAACGACAATAAAAACACAACTCTGTTTTTGCTGAATGTCAAGAATCTATTTGTTCATGTGCGTGTGTCCAGGGCCTGCTGAAGGTGGCGGTGGAGAACGCCCGGGCGCAGGACAAACAGATCCAGGCGGAGAAGAGGGAGCTGAAGATGGAGCTCTACAGAGAGCGAGAGATGAGAGAGAGTCTGGAGCGACAGCTGAACTCAGAGCTGCAGAGCAGAGGTCAGAGGGAAAATCAAAACATTTCCAGCAGATCTGCTGACCGACTCAGCCTTCAGGACATTCTGTCCTTTTTAAACTAAAATCAGTCTTTTCGTCTTCAGCCTCCATCCAGAAGCGGCTGAAGAAGGAGAAGAAGGCCAAGAGGAAGCTGCAGGAGGCGCTGGAGTTCGAGTCGAAGAGGAGGGAGCGGGTGGAGGACGCCCTGAAACACTCGTCCTCGTCCTCCCCGTCCCCGGAGCCGCTGCACCCCACCAACAACAACACTCTGAATGGTAAAAACACCACGCTCACAGGTCCAGCTCCCAGTTCACCTGGACCGCTGTTGACTGAGGCGGCTCTTAAAGTGGAGTTACAAGCTGCTGCTGTTTTTCTCTCTTCCTTCCATAAAATTCAGAGTAATCACAAGCAGCAGTAAACGTGCAGTTAATCTCTGTGTGGCTCTACAGGAGCAGCACAAACGAGGGCAGTTTACCTGAACCTTTACTTTCACAAAGTCAGCTTGATTGAGAGCGGCTTCTTGTTCTTGGATTTATTCTGTTGATAACGTCTCAGAAATCTGTTATTGTTTCTTCTACAGTGACTTACTACATGGTTGTTTGTGTGTTTGTAGTAAAACAATGTCAGTTTTCACTAATTAACGAGGTTATTTGAGGATAAAAACAGGTTCTGTTGAGGGTAAAGTACTTCCTGTAACCTCTCACCCACTAATGTCTCAATAGTGACAGAGCTTGTCCAGCATTCACATTATTGAGATTTATATATTAAAATGTTCAGGGCATTCAGGCTATTTTTTTATATTTCAGCAATTTATATTTAGCCTTTTCAGCCTTTTTTCCTCATTTAAAATGAACAGAGCTGTCTTGAACATCCTTAAAATTGTTCAAAATATTTATAAACCTTCAGTGTTCTTTTTATCTTTTGCTCTGGTTCTGCTTTTTTAGCTAATTTGTAATGATTTAAGCTTTCTTCAGCAAGTATTTTGCTGATTTTAGGTTTTTTGACTTTATGTGTTTTAAGCAATTTTTATAAAGTTAATTTCACCTTTTTGTGCTAATTTCAGCTTCTTACTGCTTAATTTATCAAACATGTTATTTCTGTTTCTTTGTATTTTTTTATTATTACTGTTTTTATTCATGCATAATACTATAAATTTAACCCTAAAAATAATCCATAAAGTGGGGGGTAGTATTATACACGGCTTATTGATGATTAGATTTTTAGTGCTTTTTAAGCTCAAAAAAACATTATCGTATTATACATGAATAAATACGATTTTTTTTCTGTTTCTTTGTCGTAATTTAGGCTTCCTTCAGCTTCTATTTAGATGATTTTAGCCTTTTTTTTTGTTAATCGCTTCTGCTAATTGAAACGTTTTGTGCTTCTTTTTGCTGCTTTCTGCTAATTTCTGCTATTTTATGTGTTTTATAAAGTTAATTTCACCTTTTTGTGCTAATTTCTGCTTCATACTGCTTAATTCAGCGAATGTGCTCCGTTTCTTTGTGCTAATTTCAGCTTCCTTCAGCTCCTGTTTAGCTGATTTTAGCTTTTTTGGCCATCACTTCTGCAAATTTAAACTTTTTTGTGATTCTGTTTTCTGCCTTCAGATTTTGTCTATTTTCAGTATTTTTTTTAGCTATTGAGTAAAAATCTTTCAGCATAAAGCACTCAGATTGTATTTTCACAGGAAATGTGATTCTGTAGTTCAAATCTACTTTGATCAGACCGAAAAGTTCTGCTTTTTCCTTCATGGGTTGTAAAAGTAGTTAGTTTTCTGCTGAACAGTAAAAAGGAGGAGACAGTTTATGATGCTCGACATTAGTTAAACTTTAATTAGACCAGTGGTCTAAGAGGATCCTGTCCTCCATGTTGTGGAGGTTCCTCTGCAGAACTTCTACAAATTGATAAATTATTTTTAACGAAAGTCACTAAAGGTTCAAAACTACAAAGAGAATCTGATTTATCTGAGTAGAGGGACTATTTCCCAACATACGCTCATTAGGAACTTCCTTCCTTTTTTGTGTTTGGATTGTGTTTTCTGTGTGGAACCAGTTTATAGTCGACCCGCACACAGTTACAAGCTGCTGTTTGGGTTTTTCTTTGTTTTTTATTGGTGGACCCACTGGGACCCTGTCTTGTCTTTGTGTTTCATACCAGAGGCTGCTGCAGCCGAAGACAAACCTGAACTTAATGGAAACCAGCAAGACAACGGCGCTGTACAAGGTACAGGAAAAACACACAACACACCCTCACACATGTCACGTATTAACAGATACAAAACTGTACAGCTCCCCGACACACACATGGCTGGCACATGTGTGTGTCGGGGCCCCTGTTAGATTAGTGGAGACATTAGGCAGACATCGTGGCCTCCCTTTGATGTGCACCTCAGACACACATGTGATGTGTGCTAATAGTTCATTAAGTTTTTGTGTTTATGTGGATCTTAGTGAGGACAGCAGGCGGGAACACAACCAAGCATCGGCCAGTTCCCAGTTTAAAGTTAAACAATGATTTTAAAAAGTCATCAAAGTTCTCCATCATACAGTTTCTGTGGTGGATCTGGTTGGTCCTCAGCTTGTGTGAAGAGCTCATAACACTTCCTGTTTGTCAGTTATGAATGTTGAGCCTTTTTCCACACATTGACCACAGTCTGTAGTGGAAACAGTTATGCTAATAATGAAACTAGCTTCACATTTAGTGGATTAGCTTTTTTTTTGCTAACTTTGGAAACCGTTAGCTGCAGGGTTCCTGCGGATCCTTAAAAAGTCTTAAAAGGCCTTGAATTCATCAATCCAAAAACAAGGCATTAATTAGCCTTAAAATGTCTTAAAACAACCTTTCAGAGGTCTTTAAACTCAACTTTCCTTTTGTGTATTTCAAGCTGTGAAAGGTAGCGCAACTCTGCTGCTGCATGACCGGTTTCACCTGTTCTCCCATGTTTGTCATGAGTGTCTTCTTGAATGGGTGTTTCTTAACTGACTGCCCCCTCCCCCCTTCCCTGAATGTACAGCACCTTGTGAATATATTTCTATGAAAGGTGCTATATAAATAAATCTTTACTTACTTAAAACTGTTAACATGTTGTAAGTAGGATGATTGTAATCCATCTCAAATAATAAAATAGTTAACATTTATTTTACATTTTTTAATAATTTACCAAGTGCCTCTCACAGTGAGTTGTTTTGTGTTAAAGTAAACATTTGGGTAAAATTATCGCTAATGTATTTTTTTTGTTTAAGTTGGTCTTAAATTTAATTTCAAGTGGTATTAAATAGATTTAATTTGATTTAAGCTGTAGGAACCCTGAGCTGACCGATTAGCTTCTGCTAACTTAAGTTCCGCTAATTTTAAGTATCCCAAAAATTTAAAAAACTATTTTTATGCCGTTTATTCCAAACTCAATAAAAACTATCTCCTCTTACAAGCAGTGCTGGACGTGTCAGGCACGCTGTGTGTAGCATGTTGCATCCTTAAGGGCTCGACACACGGGGAGCGACAAACTACAGCGATTAACGGCTGTCATCGCAGCCAGGGTGAAACCCGACACATGGGACAGGATAGCAATCGCAGCGTTGCGAATCGCGCTCTCAGATCGCTTGTCTTCACAAAATTTGATTGGTTCTTGACTCTGAAGGCGGGTGTGCATTACGGACGTGTAAACTAAACAAATCTTGCGATGCTAATGATATTGAAAAACAAACACACATCAAGATACAGTTTTATGAGGAAAAACTTACCATAAACTTCACCCTGGTGCCAATAAATTCCCACAAAGCTTTTTAGTAATCACATAGTGAAAGTGTTAGCTAACTGCAGTGTGTAGCATACTCTCTTCTCATTGGTCAGTCAATGAAACCCTCGCTGATTGGTTGTTCGCTAAGCGGCAGCGACAGAAGTTGAACATTTTTCAACTTTCATGTGTCGCGTCGCAAGCTCGCATGTGCACGTCTATGTGTACGAGCGTGAAATTTCACATGCACTATTTTCGCCGGTCGCTTAGCTGGAGGAGGGCAAGAGATTGTCGCCTCACCAAACAGGCTCCATAGGAAATTAATGGAGAGTGAGCGACGTAGCCTCCCGTGTGTCGAGCCCTTTAGCCCTTTTACACTTCAAATTAAGAGCGACAAAAAGGAACAATATTTAAGTAAAAAATACAAAAACTGACCACATATTAAAATGGTATGGAAAGTTTTTGAAGTGTGTTCAAACAGCATTTATAAAAACAGAAACTATCTTGAAATGCTTTTATTCTGAAAGGGGCACACTTGAAGTATCAAGTGAGTTGTAGCTATAAGTGGTTTGGATTGGCTGATTTGCCACAGTTGATCCCACCGACCTTCAAATTAAACCATTACAACTGATGGTCAGCTTAGTGGTTAGCGTTAGCGGGGCTAAGAATCTTGTTTAGCAGACTAGCTAACTTTCTGGTTAGCTCTGACCACGTTAATAAAAGCTCCATTTAAGCTTGAGATTGAAGAAAAGATGAAGCCTGGCTCGACGGACAGGGTCTTGGTCTGCAGTTGAAGTTTTTCAGTACTGCTCGGGGTTATCAGTTGGTCTCTGAAGAGCTTTTGTTAAAACATATAAACATCTTAAAGTATATTTGATCAGACCTCTGCCTTTATGACAGCAGGGCTGTTGAAGTCCAGATGAAGTTTGCTTTATGAACTCATTATGCCAATGAGTCCTCACAAGTGCAGCGCTGCTGTGTGTGTGTGTGTGTGTGTGTGTGTGTGTGTGTGTGTGTGTGTGTGTGTGTGTGTGTGTTAATATGCAGGTGTCGTCTTCCTTCCACCAGCTGTGCTCAGTCCTCCCTGACATTGAAAACCTTCGCTTGAAACTCTGAGTGTATAAGTGAATATCTACACACACACTCTGTGTGTGTGTGTGTGTGTGTGTGTGTGTGTGTGTGTGTGTGTGTGTGTGTGTGTGT